ATTTGTGCATTTTAACCTTCAATTGATCAACAAACTTTCAATTTCTTCAATTTAACCCTGATTTGGTCAATTCCATCCCCTATATTTACGTGTCTTTTCTAGTTTGGTCCTTAGTTTTGGTTTTTTTCAAACAAGTCCCTAAGTGCCATCAAACTTCAATGTTTATGCAATTAAGCCATTGATTTGACCAAATTAACTCTTAAAAATTGTAATACGACCTCCAAACTTTAATTTCTTCATATTAAAGGTAAAATTGACTTAAAAATCAATTTTTTTTGCAATTTAACCCTTCATAAACTCAATTAATCTTTCAACAAAATCTAATTGAGTCTTTAAACGTCTGATTTTAAACTTTTCTTCCTCCAATTAAATTGAAAACATATTGTTCAATTTTAATTTTTATATTTTTGACCTTCCATAACTAATCTTTGACCATTTTTTGGGCATCCCTATATCTTTGTTTTACTTCTATATATTTTTGTTTTCTTCTGATAATCTTTTTTTTTTATTTCTTTGCATTTTTTTTTTGTGTGAGGATAAAAAAATGAGAAGCAACACAAAGTATAACAAAGATCCATTCCCTTCTCAACTAAGTTAGCTTTCTCAGCTCCCTGACTAACTCATTATCTTCATTCACTTCAATGATTCCCCATTTCTGCTGGCTCGTCAATTTTTCTATTCCTGTTGGAACTCTCATTCCATGAGAGTCTAGGAAGAACGATGATGATTGGAAACTATATCGATAGTTACGGAGCTGACAAAGACATGTCAATTGTGTGATCCCAGCAGGCAAAGAAGATTCAAGACTCCCTTTCAAATCAAGTATTTCCAAGTACATGAGCTTCCTTATGGACTCTGGAAGCTCACTTATCATGGTCCATCTCAGACTTAAGTATCTCAAATGAATCATTTCAACCAATTCAGGTACAAAGCTGGAAAGGGCGCTCGATCTAAATTCAATATTCTCAACAGCTTGGTTTATATATTGCTACAGGAGGAAGCTTATTCACGTTATCTATTCTTCACTAAATAATACTAACTGATTCTCTTAACTGACAAACAAGACTAACAGCTACTAACAACATTCTAACCATCTTATTTTTTAATCTTTTGACATGTGGTAGGACTAGAACCTTTGATATCTTTACATTCCCTCTCAATTGTAGGCTTGGAGGAGCCAAGCATAAGATTGGAACATGAAGCAAACATGTAGTAGAAAATTGAACAATCCGAAGTTGAGAAGTAGTTACCCTTTTAAAATGAAACATTCAAAATTCTTAATTTTTCTAACAATCTTTTCGTTTTCTTATACCACTACTGGCCAAATTGAATTTCATGAGGCGTGAATGAATTAGGGTTCTCTTGTAGCCTTGAAATTATAGAGGAATAAAGAAAAAAAACTCTCGTATTTTCAAAAAAAATACAATTAAATAATCTAATCTTAAAACAATACTCCAATTGTTGATATAAAAGATAAAACCGATTTAATTAAAAGAATTCAACATTAAGTGCAAAATGGGCTTGAAAGAGACCCAACAGGAGAGAAAAATCTGAAATAAACTCTTGATGTTCAAAATAGCCCACAAGTAAGGCTTAAATAGCTAGGGCTGAGAAAATTGCCAAAATAGATAAATACTGATTATTCAATAAATAAATAAAATATTGCCTTGTTTTAAGTTTAGACTT